GAGCTAATGTGAGAAACAACAACAACAACAACAACAGTAACAAAAACAACAACGAACGTCAACTCCTGCTGTGTGTTGTGTTCTGTTTTCGTCCTGTGGATCGAGATGAAGAATTGTTTGAAGATTAAATTAAAGTTTCGTGGCACAGGGAAAAAAAAATGACGTCATGCACTGCAACCTCGTAGATGTGTACTGTCTCTGAAAGACCGAAAAAAAAAGTTGTGCCGCGGATGAAACAAGCAGCATCATGGATATATCCTCTTTCCAGAAAAACCTTCCTTGAACTACAGATTGTGGTTAAAGTGCAAAACGCTACAATATGCATTCAGAACACCAAGAGATTTCCCAAAATGGTTGCTATAGCAGACACACGTGGGAACCTCAGCGGGAAAAATATTTCAACATACGACCATTTTTTAGGAAAAAAAAGGGAAAACAAACAGGTAACCTTTCGCTCACGCTATGGATTCATTGCTAATCTATCTTAGACGTATTTCTATAGATAGAGAAAAATGTGTTGTGTAATATTAAGAAAAAAAAAAAACAAGGCTGTGTTCTCTCTCGACTGCTGCCTGATTTCCGACGAAACAATAGTTGTGGGTTGCTGTGGCATGCCATTTGCAGCTCAAGAGCGATCGCGACGCAGGTCTCGGAGATGCTACTGCTGTTCCCAACCCGATGTCGAGGTCTACGTACCACGCACGCGAAGTGTTATTGCATGCACACGATCAACCACGCCCGATGGAGCGAAACTCTCCGGCAAAATCAATAAATCAAAAAATCAAAATATTCTCACCTCTCAATCTAAACCTACACGGAAAAAGTACTGCTGCACGGACGGAAGGTACGACGCAAGTTTGAGTCAAAGTGTGCTGAGAGCAAAAAAAAGGAGAGCGGGATTACGTGAGCATCACAACATCATCGCCATCATTACCGACAACCTTGTATTTTTTTGTTACTACTACGCACCTTCATGTTCGGAAGGGCTGCTGGCACCGCGAAGGCGCTGGTGATGGTGATGGTGGTGGTGGTTGGCCATCCGCAGCGCGGTCATCTTCTTGAGCTCCTCAACGCTTATCCCGCTAGACAAGTTGCCAGCAGATCCCCCTCGTGTTGTTGCAGCCCCCGGCTCTCCCCATCCGTCCTGCTCCTGATGGGGCATTTCCACCGCCGCTGATGCTGTCGAGATCTGAACTGGGGGAGGGGAGGCGCCAACGGAGATCACGCTGCTCGCGTCCTCGCGTAGCAGCGCTGCTGCCGCCACAGCAGGGGGCTTGGACTCGGCAGGGGCTGCTTCTACCGGCAGCAGCAGCAGCGCCTCCTGCGTCGTCAGCGTGTTACCTGCTCCTCCTGGTGATTCTTGCGTGTTGCTACTGCTACTACTGCTCCTGGCGACATCCGTAGGCGACATGTGTATGTGTGCTTGCTGCCAATCGCGAGCACACCCCGTCACGCTGGAAAAGAAGGGAGCTCCAGTCTTTCTCTCCCTCTCGCTGGAGGTCACCTCTCTCTTCCTTTACCCCCAGCTCGTGCGATGCTTCTTCCCGCCACCGCTGCTAACGACAACAAATATCGGAAATCACTCACACACCCCGCGCGCTCTCCTCCCTGGATCGCCAGAAGAGGGCGTCGGGGTGATTGCACCCGCCAGCAGAAAACTGACGCACGTTCCCCTACTTTCCTTGGCCCTCTTGGGTCCTGGTGTAGTGGGAGTGGGTGGGAGGTGGCTTTGGTGTGCGGGAGGTAACCGACTTGAAGCAGTATTTACAAAGACGGAGATATGGGAGACGGAGGTTACGCCGCTTTCATGGCTGTTTCGAGTTCGAGGGCACCCGCTGGTTCCAACGGGGCGACACGCCGGTGATAACAGTACTATCTACCTGTAGATCAAAGGGCGCTTCTGTTACCCCTTGCTCTCTTGTGCCCCCCCTGCCCGCTGCTCCAGTCCACGCCCTGGGTGGTGGCATCGGCGTCTTCTTTCTCTCTTTTTGGCGGGGATCCTCCCCTCTGCTTTCCCTAATTTTTCTCTCTGGACATTCGAACTTCAAAAACTGCCGTTCATCATCGATCCGCGCGAACACGACAACGTGTTCAACAGAGAGGTGCGCACGCAGGCCAAAGCTACTAAAACTCAGCCCTGAAATAGTGGATAGAGAGAGGGGCGGGGGCGGCATGGGAGAGAGAGACCGTTTGAATGTCTACCAAAAGCACTCATGCATGCATGAGGTCTACAGCTGCTGTTATCCGTCGTCTCTCTGACGTCTGCCCACAGAAATTGGTTCGGACAACACCCACCTGGATACCACGACGTTACCTGTGGTGCTGGGAAACGTGCGCATAAATCGCCACCGGTGTTGTTGCCGGCGCAGGAGGCACGAACGGGTTTCGAAAACTATTCTACAGTAAAGTGCATCCCGTTCGGAAGGGGTGTGCGGAAGTGGGTCTTTATTTACAGCGACACTCCCCGTGTGTGTATCTACCTCTCTGGCTTGATTATCACTTACCTACAACAAGTCTCGGGAGATGAATGATGAGCAGCTAGACTACACAGGACATGCAGGTATGGGGTTTTCGTACCCCCCTGCAAGTTGCCCCCAGTTGATTCATCACATCCACCAGCCACTGAGTGTGAAAGATACCGCCAAAGATCCAAACACGCACGCACGTGTTGCGCCTCTTTAATTCTTCCAGACCCCTACAGCGGGGGGGTACAGACACATACACCGGTCGCCCCGGTGGTCTGGTGGGTAGTCGCGCAGCCTGGTAAGGGCCACGTCATGGGTTCGAGTCCCGACAGAGTGGGTTTTTTCTCGCTAATTCGTCTATGTCCTGATCTCCGTTGGAAGCGACGCGCTGCAAAGCTCGTTGTTAGTAAACTTGATCGACTTCATAAGGCACGAGGGAAGGGATTGCTGTACCCGTCTCGCGATAAAAATATCTCAGAAAGGAACAACAGGAGGGGGTCCAACCCCCCCCCTCCTATGCGACCCCGGTTGGGTCGTCTAGCTGGTAGAAGTGGAGGATAGGGGCCAGAGGGGTAGACCACAGAGTTACATGGGTGCATATGTTGTCTGGTAGATATGTCCTTCCTGGGTGAAGAATTTACCCCGACCACCTTTTCTCTATGTTGTTCTCTATAAAGAGCAAGTAGGAAAATAGAGCCGCGAGCATTGCCAATGACAAGCATTGTGAGGTTCGTAACGCTGGCGCACGTTACAGTAGAGGTCCCTGTTTAGTGCCGGGGTGTGCGCAAAAACTTCACCGGCACTATACCGGGCACCGGTACTATTCAATGTACAGAACGACTTGATATTCCAGTGCGTGCGAGCCGAAAACACCAGCACTATACCGGCAACCGGCACAATTGAACCGGCACTAAACAGGGACCTCTACTATATTCTTGTACCACCTAGCTGGACTGGGGAGACGACCACAAGTTTGTATGAAAAACAGTGTGTGTCTGCTGCGAGATGGGTGGTGGTACGAGACAACCTAGATCGCGTCGTCCTGGAAGCTAGCTCTCCGCCGGCGACAGTTGGGACAAACACTCACTGTCTTGCGACTACTGCTGTTGTGAATATCTATTATTCACCAAGTGCAAGCAACGCCCGCGCTTGAGAACTTTCAGTTCAGAAAATTGAGCGTCACAAAACTCAAACTCTACACAGAACGTGCCAAGGGTCTTGGAAAAAAATCCGGACACACACACACATAGATAGGCCAAAAAAAAGGAAAAAAAAAATAGGCCGCACAACCCCCCCCGGAGGCCCGGAGGGGAGAGAAATTCGAAAACTCCAGGAATCGTCGAAAAGTTTCCTTGAAGCTAGATGGTTTATTGCAAGCATGCCTCGTTCGTTACCCCTTCCGCATCTGCTCGTCAGAAACCGACCCACGCTCACCCAGCCGTGCTACAGGAACACACGTACGTACGGTAGACATTAGCGCATCATATCTACAAAATAATAAGTACATCGACCAAAGGTCGACATGAGCGAAGCAGCTCACAGCTAACCACCACATCCAACACAACCATCCACATGCAATGCAAAACTTGCCCTTACCGCGTCTGGCACGCTGCACAACAGAACAACGCAGTCTCGCAAATCTACTCGTAGCCTCGGTCTTGTGGGGTTACGTTTGACTTGATCAATCTACCCCGCTTGCTCGTGCGGACCCCTGCTTGCGAGTTCTCATTCTGCGAGAGGGGTTTTGGGTTAGGGTTAGAGTTCGGGCTAGGGTTAGGAATAGGGTTAGAGAGCCGGACGCCGAAGCGCCGACGCCTCGGCGTGAAACCCGGGGATACATGGATATGATGTCCCCCCCCAAAAAAAGCCGCCCCCCCCGGTGTTTGCCATCGGGGTTGGGTTTTCGTCGCGTGGCAACGACGTTGTAAAACAAGCCAATTCACTTCGTGAACTCGGCCACCAGGTTGCCGTTTTTTGTTTACCTCTGTTTTTTTTTTGGTGGTAACCATACTGGTGGTCGAGTAGATCATGTTGTGCGGGGTAGAGAACCCTCACTCCGTGCAAGGGGGATGATCGCACCACGTTGTGTTAAAATGGTCAA